GTGGCACATGCCTGTAATTCCAGTGGCTTAGGAGGCTGAAGCAGGAGGATCACAAGTTCATAGGCAGCCTCAGCAAAAGCAAGGCACTAATCAACTCAGTGAGACCTTGTCTCTAAATAAAATATAAAATAGGGCTGGGGATGTGGCTCAATAGTTGAGTTTGAGTTCAATCCCTGGTAACCCCCCCCCACCACCAAAAAAATAATCAAATAAAAGCCAGACACAGTGGCACATGCCTATAATCCAGGTGACTTGGGAGGCTGAGGCAGGAGGATTGTGAGTTTAAAAACAGCCTTAGCAACATATCAAAACCCTAAGCAACTAGTGGGACCCTGTCTCTAAATAAAAATACAAAAAAGGGCTGAGGATGTGGCTCAGTGTATAAATGCCCCTGGGTTCAATCCCCAGTATCAAAAAAAAAAAAAAAAAAAGAATAAAATGAAAAGCACATGATCAACAGGTATTTTGATAGATTTTGGAAAAGCATTTGATAAATTTATTACCCACTGATGATTTTACAATAATTCTTAAATCTAAAAATAGAAAAATTAAAAAGAAAAAAATGTAAACTATTGAGGAATAATACTTTTCAATGGCAGCAAAAATATCTCTATAATGAAAGCTATAAAATATTGATAAAATAAACTGAACAAGGCCCAGAATTTAAGGATCTTTTATGTTCATGGATTTGATGAATTTATATTGTTAAAATGCAATACTACCCAAATCATTCACAGATTCATCAAATTATCAAATATATTCTTCACATTACTTCCAAATAGGCAAAAACAATCTTGAGCAAAAGAGGCAAAACTGGAGCAGCACAATTCCTGATTTCAAAACATAATATAAAGCTATGGTAGCAAAAACAGCCTGGTACTGGCATTAAAGTAAATGCATAAAACAAAGCAACAGAAGAGATAAGGTAGAAGTAAATCTACAGATACACAGCCAACTATTTTTCATCAAAGTTTTCAAGAATACACAATGTGTAAATGACAGTCTTTTCAACAAATAGTGGTAGGGAAAACATGTATCCATATGCAGAATCTAGATCCCAACCTCTCCCTATATACAAACATAAACTCAAAATGACTTAAATGCCATACACAAACTTTTGAAATTATTAAAAAAAATAGGAGAGACACTTTAGGATATTGGTCTGGGCAAAGTCCTTTTTGGATAATTCACAAAGCACAGGAAACAAAACAAAAATGAACAAATAGTATTATATCAAATGAAAAATCTTCTACACTGCAAATAAAACAATCAACAGAGTTAAGTAAACCTGCAGAATGGGAATAAGTTTTTCAAACTATTCATTCAACAAATGATGAATAACAAGATTATATAAAGAACTCAAATACTCAATAGCAAAGTAGCAAAAATCTAATTTTAAAATGAGCAAATGATCTAAATAGAAATGTCTCAAAAAGAAGACCTACAGCTGGGTGCAGTGGGAAATGCCTGTAATTTCAGTGGCTTGGGAGACTGAGGAGGATTGAGTGTTCAAAGCCAGCCTCAACAATGGTGAGGCACTTAGTAACTTAGAGAGACCCTGTCTCTAAATATAATATAAAATAGGGATGGGGATGTGACTCAGTGGTTGAGTGCCCCAGATTTGAATCCCCAGTACAAAAAAAGAAGTCCTACAAGTGGCTAAAAAGTTTATGAATATACACTAAACCTCAATGATAATTAGGGAAATGAAAGCAAACCACAATGAGATCCTGTTTAATGCCCAGTAGAAAGGCTATTAACATAAAGACAAAAAAAGAAAACAAACAAAAAAAGACAACTGGTTTGGCTGCTTCCATCATACAGTGTTAATGGAAATGTAAGTAAGTATTCCCATTATGGAAACCAGAATGGAGGTTCCTCAAAACTGTACAACCACCATATGATCCAGGAATCCTATTGCTAGATTATTTCCTTTAGAAAAGGAAATAAGTATATTGAAGAGATATCTGCCCTCCTGTGTCTACTGTAGCATTATTCACAAATAGCCAAGATATGAAATCACCCCAGGTCTCCATGACCAGATACATGGAAAAAGAAAGTGTCTGCACACTCACACTCACATACACACATTTATATAATTGAATACTAACTCATCCATAAAAATATTGAAAACCAGGAACAGAAAGACAAATGCTGCATGATCTCACTCATACTTAGAATGCAAAAAATGATTAATTTCATAGAAATCATGAGTAGAATAGTGGTCACCAAGAGCTACTAGGAGTAAAGTAAAAGAGGAATAGAGAGAGCTTGGTGATTGAAGGCCAAAGTATAGTAAGAAAGAACAAGTTCTAGTGTTCTAAAGCATGGTAGGGTGATGATACTTGACCATAAGTTATTTATATACAAAATAGCTAGAAGAAAATATCTGAATGTCCCAAAGAAATCATTAATGTTTGAGATGATGGACTTGCTTATTACTCTAATTTGATCATTACACATTATACGCATGAATCAAAATATCACATTATAGCCTATAAATATATATAATTATGTGTAGTTTAAGAACATTTAGCTTGGCATGGTGGCACACACCTGTATTCCCAGAAGGTCAGTGGCTGAGGCAGGAGGATAGCAAGTTCAAAGCCAGCACCAGCAACATGAGGCATTAAAAGCAACTCTGTGAGATCCTGTCTCTAAATAAAATACAAAATAGGGCTGGAGATGTGGATAAGTGGTGGAGTGCTCTTGAGTTCAATCACCAATGCCACCCACCCACCCCCCAAAAAAGTTTAAGAACATTTGGCATTCTATACCCAATTATCCAAATTATGTTGTTAATGTTTACTTTTAAATAGCACTTATAAATATACTGCTATATTTGTAGGAAAAAATTAGAAATGTAAACACATATATTGGCATGTGATCTTCCATTTGGGGTAGAGAATCATTTTATCTAGGAATTCCCAAAGTTTCCATTCTGAGGCACAACTGCTTGGCTTCCCCTAAAACATGTAACTGCTAAAAGGTTAACCCCACCCCAGCCCATGTCACAACCCCTAATCATGCATGTGAAATTCCTCTTGCAGGCTATAAAGCTGCTCTGGGAGTGCCAACATGCTGCTGCTTGGAGGGACAGCCATGTTGGTTTGCTCCATGCTACTGACAATAAATCTCTGGTGTGTGGTGTGGTCTTTGGACTTTGTGAGTGCCCTTTCAACATGGGTTTTGTAATTTTACATTTTTCCTTTCTAATTGGAATTTCCCAACTATAATGAGTAATTCATGTAACAAACTTTTAATGTGGTTTCTTATGATCCTCCCTCAGTTTATGTAAAGTGAAAGTTTTTAAAAAGGAGCTAAAGTTGTGTTTTATTTCACCATCAGATTCTTCTTTTGTTCTGCTGACTTTTGTCCACAGCTGCATCCTCCTGTCTCTAAGGACACTGTCTCCAAGGAAGCCCAAATTAGCATACTTTTGTTTATAACCTCAAATTTGGTTACTCCAAAGATTCATTAGAAACCATTTGTAGGTCACCAGGGACCCTGTTTTTCATTTGGTTGCATTTTTATCAAACAGCAAATTTTAAGCTAGATACAACAAAGGTGCCCATTGTCCTGAGAAGTCAGTGCCAACTATCCTCAGAAGCAGATTCCTAACATTCCACAGTCTTCATATTAAAATGTGTTCTTTATTTCTTTCTTTTATTTTAAGGGTATAAAAACAGCAGAAGGAAGTCCAAGGAACTGTTTGAAGATGGATACCTCTGAGATGTTTATTCAACCTAGAGTTGTCATGAATTTGACAGTGGATTCACAAGCAAATGTAACAAGAAATTCATACGAAAATCATTTTAATTACCTTTTCCAGTTTAGAAATTCTAAGATTTTGTGGGTTTCAACAACCAAGAGAAACTATAAATGACTGTTAAAATAGTAAATGCAATAAATTTTATTATTTTATTTTAATTATATTTACTTTTTTGTAATCTAAATATTATTATTTGTGGAAGAGAAAAAGATTATATTAGTAAAGCATGGTTTTTTTTCTTTATAGAATCTGGTTTCCTTGCATAATAAAATGCCACTTTGGGGAGATGTTTATGCATTTCAATTTGACATTGAAATGTTAAAATTTGGTAGTTATCCAGAAATATACTACCTATTTATCAACTCACATAAGAAACTGATAAATGTGCATATAACAACCCCCAGCCCTCCAAAAGAATGACAAATTGGCATTAGTTTTATCACCTCATTAGAGTTCTCTCTCCTCATTACAAACACACACTTTGAAAACAGAATAAACAAAAAATAGTCTCATTTAAAGCATGACCAATATCCAATGGTGATAGGGCTGTTTAATTGGGCTCAATGATGTGATCTGAGAGATCAGAAGGGGAACTGGAGGAAGGATTTATACCTGAAAATAGTAGCAAAATGAAGGCAGTTTCTCTTTTATGAGCTATGAAGGTAATAAATAAAGGTAATAATAAAGCAGAAAAGTTGATCTCTTGAAAAGTGAAAATTTAAAAAAAATTCACAGTGGTTCAAATTCACAGAAAATTTAAATAAACAAAGTTAATGTCTAAATTAAGAGTCTAAATTGAAAGGAAAATAGTTTAGTAGGCATCTAATTAGAAAATATGCAATAGATGAATTCATTTAGAAACATTTTTGGACAATTGAAAAACATGTGTATAACAGTGTATATTGTGGGGACTGTGATGATGAAAAAAGCACACGCAGCCTGATCCCTGCCCCAAGTTAGTATTCTTTGTCAGGTGTTAATAGAGTAACACATGCCATTTTCTACTAGAGTACGTGATAGAAGTCATCAGACTTGCAGAAAACTTTCCAGAGGGCTTAAAGCAAAAGTTTAAATTGATCAAATAAAGTATGCTTACTGTAATGTAATAAATGTTAAAATGTAATATTTTTTAAAACCATTTTGAAAAAGAAAAACCTAGATGATAGAGGTAAAACTGATAAATACTCTGTAGCAAACTGTCTCTGAATGTTACCTGTAGATATAACAGAAGTCAGAAATCAACAATGTGAATAATACTGTAACAATTTTCATTCTACTGGGATTGACAGATGACCCACAACTTCAGGTTCTGATTTTTATCTTTCTGTATCTCACCCACGTGTTAAGCATCAGTGGAAATATTTTCTCCCTCATCTTAGTGAATCCTTGCCTTAAAAAGTCATCTACTGTTTCCTACAAAATTTTGCTTTCTTGGAGATCTCATTCATATCCGCATGTATTCCCAGATACTTATGTAACAAAGCAACAGGTGACAAGATGGTTATCTACAATGCCTGTGTCAGCGAAGTATATTTTACTGACCTCTTTGGTGTAACTGAATTTTTTCTCCTGGCTACCATGTCCTTTAATGGCTATGTGGCCATCTGCAAGCACCTGCATTATGTGACTATCATGAGTAGCAGAATCTGCAAGAGAATTCTCTTTTGTTGTTGGGTAGCTGGTGTATTTATTTTAATCCCCCCACTCAGCCTAGGCCTAAATCTGGAGTTTTGTGATGCTAATATCGTTGATCATTTTGTTTATGATGCATTTCCCCTCCTGAAAATCTCTTGCTCAAATATTTGGTTTATGGAACAGACCATTATCATCTCTGCTGTACTGACCCTCATGACACGCATATGCATAGTTCCGTCCTACATTTACATCATCAAGACCCTTCTGTTCAGTGGAATAAAAAAGCCTTTTCTACCTGTTCTTCCCACATGATTGTGGTTTCCCTCACCTATGGCAGCTGCATCTTCATCTACATTAAACCTTCAGCTAAGGACTCAGTGGCCATAAATAAGGGGCTGGCTGTCCTCACTACTTCCATCCCTTCCATGCTGAACCCCCCTTCATTTACACACTAAGGAACAAGAAAGTACAACAGCCCTTCATGGACTCAGTCAAAAGAATTTTTATATTTTTCAAGAAATAAGGGACATGAAGTTGATGAACAAGTTTGGTGAACTTCCCAAAGTCCGCTGGCAAGTTAACTTTTTCAAAACGCTCTTGCTCATCCTCATCCAATGGCATCTTATCCACAAGCCTCTTTTAAGATCACATTATTCCATAATAGTCATGTTAATAGCTTTCAAAATTTTAAATCCTTGCTTCATTTTCAAATTGAAGACCAAAAAATAAGATAAAAGAAAATAAAATAGATATAAACTTCTTGTCATTTTTCACATTTCCAGGGACAACAGAACAAATAATCATCACCACTGTTTCTTCAAATCCAAAACATCCAAATGATTCATTTATTAATTCACCTAATAAATATGTATTGGGTACTTTCTTTAGGATAGGTACTGTTCTAGGTTTACAAACAAAGGACAAAAAAAAAATCAGAATTAAAAAAAATCCTCTTATGCACACTCAGAAATAATAACAAGAAATGGACAAGCAAGCTAAGTGATTATCAGCTGAAGAATGGATGAAGAAAATGTGGTATATATACACATTGGAATACTTCCCAGACATAAAATAAAATTAAACTCTCTTATTTTCAAGAACATAGATGAAAGTAGAAACAATTGCATTAAGAGAAATAAGCTGGTGCAGTGGTGCATGCCTGTAATCCCAGTGATTCAGGAGGCTGAGGGAGGAGGATCATAAGTTTGAGACCTGTCTCAGTACTTGTGAGACCTTCAGGAATTTAGAGAGACCATGTCTCCAAACTACAAAATAAAAATTGCAGGAGAAGTGGCTCAGCGGTTAAGTGCTTCTACTACAATCCCCAGTCCAAAAGAAGAGAGACACAAATAGAAATAAGCCAGGAACAGACAGACAAGTACTTTATGTGTGAAATATAAAAAGGTGCATCTCATTGAAGATGTTTGTAGAGTGGCAGTTGCAAGAGGCTGGGGAAAGTAGAATGGGGAAAGGTAAATTGATGAGTAGTAAGTTACAGATAGGAATAAGAATTTCTGCTGTGCTACTGCCCAGAAGAGTGACTTCAGATAACATTAATATATCAGATATTACAAGAAGCTAGAAGAAAGGATCTTGAATGTTTCAGTCATAAAGAAATGATAAATGTTTGGGAAGACAGATTATTTTTCCCTGATTAGAATATTATACAATGTATACATGTATTGAAGAATCATATTGTACACCCATATATATGTATACTTTTTATGTTTTATGTGTTAGTTTAAAAAGTAAATTTAAATAATAAAAACAAAAAGCTTAGATTGCAACAAATATTAGTGTTTTTTTGTCATGAAAGGGAATTACAAACCTTTCAATTTGGGAAAAACCTCTAAAATACTAAAAGTTGAATATTGTGAGATTTTAAATTATATCAAATTAATAAAGCCAAAATTTTAAATAGGATAGGCTTTCTCAATAAAAAAGAATAAGGTTAAAAATGCTATTTTGAGAAATTTGAATGATTTCTACCTCAAAAAATTATGCTTCATATAGATAGCTATATTAATATATCTACCCAATGTTAGTGAAATAGGGAAACACACACAGAAAAAAAAAATAAAGTAAAAAGAAATCAAGGAAATAAAAGCAGCTAAATATATAGTATCTTTAAAATTTAGATAATTTTCTAAAAGGAGTGTGAAAAGATACAAATACAGTACTAYATCTTTAGGACATAAACAGCAGTATAATATAAGAGTATAAGTTGTTTATCAGATTCCCCTCACAAAAAGCTCATGTGGCTCATCATCTGAAACTAATTCCCATCCCAATGGCATTTGAATTTACATTTTTATAATTTTTTTGTCGCTCATCTTTTCCAGATGATGTTTATATGTCCCAAAAAATTTCCTCATTTTTTTATGCCTCTGATCTCAAAATAAAATTTATTCCTTCTAAGAAATTTTCCCTGTCCAATCAAAATCCTACATGCTCAAACCCTAAAGAGTCACCATGCAGAAACATCCTGTATCTCTGCTAATATAACATTTTCTCTCTGTCTATATCTTTTTGTAGATTGTCAGTATTGAAAGAAAAAATTTTGTCAATTTAGTTTTTGTCCTTGAGTATGAATAATTTCAAATATCTTGAGAGTACACCTTTCTCCACAATAAAAATGACACAAGAAATATTTGGATCATTATAACAGAAAATAAAAGAGAAAAATATCTCCAACAAGAGGAATTGAATGTATCAGTGTTGAAACCAAAGTTGAATTTATGCTATATTGATTATAACATAAATATGCTTCCTGCATTTCATTTTTGATTGCTGCTTTCAGTGAGTATATAGTTCCAATTAATCATACATATACATTTATTATTTTATGTATCATTTTATTGGTTTTATTGTATGTATTTAAAGTAAACAATATGATATACATGATGAAGTTATTACTACAATCAATTAAATTAATATACCCATCATCTCAAAAAGTCTTTGTTTTGTGTATAGTAAAAGCATCTGACATCTCTTAGTGATTTTTCAGTATAAAATAAAATATTATTAATTATAGTCCTCCTGATGTAAACTGTCCCTAGATTCATTCATTTTGCATACCTGCAAGTTTGTGCACTTTGACCTACATTGCATAGATTGGTTGAATTTCATACATTTTATTTTTCTAAAGGTGCATCCAGTTTGTACCCAGTTAGTTGCATGTTCTCTAATAAAAGATATAAAATCACAGATCCTGAGGGTTTTCAACTCTTTAAAAAAGAGTTGAAACTTTTCAAAAGAGTTAACTCTTTGAAAACTTAACCTTGAGGTAATAGTATCTAAATCCAGATCCTGTCGTCATTCCACTAGCCATGAGATTTTTACCAACTCACCCTACTTCAGTCATTTCCTTTTAATTGAAGAGCTTGATCCATTTTTTAAGAAAACAGCTGTGTTAGTAAATCAAATACCATAGAGTACACCTTAAATATACATAGTAAAAAATAATAAACACACCTTTATTAATATGTGACTTATATACATATAAGTATTTGAAGTATAGTTTATAATTGTACAATGAAATATATAATCAAATTATTGTGTTATATTTACAAAGTTGTGCATACCTCACCATAATCTAACTTTGGAACATTTCTATCATCCTAGAAGGAACCCTCTTATCCTCAGCCATCACTTTTCATCTATCTCTTTCCACATTTCTTTGCAGCCTGTAACAGCAAATATATTTTCTTCACTTACTGGTCAAAGAACACAGAATTTCAGTTAGGAGATCTGTTGTATATCAGGGTTAATATATTGAATAACAGTATATTGTATATTACAAAAGAGTTGAAAATAAGTTCAAATCTCTAAGCACTAAAACATGGGAGGTGATGGATGGAAGCACATGGCCACCAAATGACAGAGGCAGGAAACAGGAAGCAAACCTTGGATCAGCAAGCTTTCCTCTATTCTGCAGCAAAGTCCATTGATCAGGCTCAGAAGGGCTCATTTTCTGAGTACAGGAAATGGCCCTCTGGATTACAGAAGAAATTGGGTTTTATAGTTTACAATGAGGGTGACTTAATCAATGGAGAGTGCAGATGTGCAGTTTGGACAGTCAGGGACCTACTTGTGCAGGTTAAAATTTTAACTCGGGAAGGTAATTGTAAAAAGGTTTAAACTTCTCATCACTGGGAAAAGCTCCCAAGTCAATTGTTCACTGCTTTTCCCTGGAACCCACCTAGAGCTTACCTAGAGCTTCACTATTTGCTTTTCTCTTTCCAAGACTCACTGCAATGGGAGAGTGTAAAACTCTAGGGCCCAGAGTTTTGGTATTTGCCTCCTTCCTTCAGGACCCATTGTGGTTGGGAAGGGGTGAAGGTTTACTTTTCGTGGAGATGCTTGCCTTGTGATGAACCTGGAAAGGATGAAAGTTTGCTTTTTCATCAAGGCCTATTCTTAATGTTTGGCTAATTTCTCTCCCTCCTCTGGAGCCACACTATCCCTTCATTTTTTTCTTGGGGCGCTGTATTGTAGAAATATTATTTTCCATAACCCTTCAATGGATACGCTAATTGGCATACTTAGATCAGTCCTCATTGTACACATATATCAAAACATATTGCATGCCATTACTGCATACAATTATGGTTTGTCAAATTAATACTAATAAAAATATATTTATTGTATGTGAGCTTTAAAAATATTCTTATACTTAGTTGTATTATAAGAAATTTGTTTAACAATGTTTTCATGCATTCTATTATATTTCTATTCCTGGGAGAATTATATAATCAATTATATGAAAGAATAAATTTCATGTTGTGAAGACCTTTCAGTGGATTTGAAGACACATAAATGCTGGGGTACTAGATTTTAACATAATTTAAAATAATCAGATAAGTTAGTGCACAAAAAGAAATTGACATTTCCGTTTTCTTTTAGAATGCTCACAGTTGAACCTAGGCAAGTTTGTTGAAATTATTTATTTATTTTGACTGAAAAATTTTTATGGTTTGTGTAATAAGAATAACATTCTGAGAATGTAAAGCTGAGTAATATTTTAAAATCTTTATGTATAATTTATTTTTTGCATAAAAATTTGTAAAACATAAAAAAGATCTTTTAGCTGCCTTGTATGCTAACAATTAATTAAAAGAAACTGGACTAGGTTTTGTTTTCAATGAGATTCTTAAAGTTGTCTCTTTTAATGATCCACATGCTTTCTCTTGTCTCTAAAGTCCATGTTCCCATTGTTACTACGGTAGGTTTCATTGTTTTTCCCCAAGTTCATTACACAAATGATTCATTAGTGGTTTTTGAATGTGGGTCACAGAGGACTTTTTTTTCATTAATTTGTTGCAGATTTGGCAAATAAAATAAATATCTAGCTTCAGATTGGAAAACCCTTTCTCTGAGCAAAAGAGTTCTGAATATCAATTATTCTAAAGGTAACAAGAGTTCCCTTGAACACACTTTTCAGTGATACTTAAAAATAAAAAATTATTTCCTGGGCTTATGATAGAACTGTATCTATTGTGAGAAATTTGGTGCAATTGATAAAAGACAAAATCCAAGAAAATCATGTATTCCCAGGATAGTGTTAGTGTTGAAGTGACCAAATTCAAACAGTATTGGCTAAAAATTATCAAGTTTATTCTCAACATTTTCAAGTTGTGTCTGTAAAAATATATATAAACAACTAATAGAGGAAGGTTATGATTAATTACCAGAAGGGTAAGTATAATAAATTCTGTTATTTGTTTCATTTTCTTTTTTGAGAATTGGGTCATATGTGACTCTAATAAATAAATCTTGCCTGATTTCATTAAAATTTAGAAATGTAAATTAATGTAGTATTAATTAAACAGTATTTTTAGAATGCTTTAATCTTGTGTATTGTATAGATATTTATAAGATTATATTAGGCAACAATAAAAAAGGTAGCATAATTTGTGTCATGTGAAAAGTAGTAACATCCCCAACAAAAATTTCTGGAAACTAAATCCTAGAAACTAATGGCTTTATATGCATATTTCCAGTAAAATTTGATATTATGGGATAGAGATAAAATGGAGAAATACAGAGCATTGAAGAGAAGATTACTCTAGATAATCCATGTGAAGTGTTTTTTCAATGTCTATTCTGTAGTAAAGTTTTAATAATTAGAGCATACTAATTTGATTATAAAGAATACAAGGTGAGAAGTAAAAAGGGGTGTGGAAAATCATGATTTTTCACTTTGGTCATGTTTGGGGTACATGTGATTATACGATTGAGATCATAAAGAGCAATAACATTTTAGAGCTGAGAAATTCAGGAAAATAATCTATCAGAAAGAAATAATGAAGCACTAAGAACTATCAACATAAGAGACAGCAGCAAGAAAAAAAATGTATAGAAATGACAAAGCAAAAAGGTGACAGGTTCAATGTGTATGTAACAATCAGCAAGTTAACAGAGGCTACTAGAAATACTGGGTGGTTGAAAACACTTCTGAGCTGGGAAGGGTGGCACATTCCTATAATCTCGGCGACTGGAGAGGCTGGGATAGGAGAATCACAAGTTAAAGGCCAGCCTGGGCAATTTGTTAGACCCTGTCTCAAAATTAGGAAAAGCAAATAAAGAAAACACACAATTATAACATTATACTTAGACATTTCCTAAACTTCAACAGAAAAAGGGAAGTATTTGATAAACTTTCATGTAATTCATATATTTAGAAACATGGGGGCAAAACATGATTTAAGGATAATAATGATTGAATGTATGGTAACCAAGAAAAGGAAAATAATTATGAACCAGGGCACTGAAGTAGTTACATTATATTTATTACTCATTGTTAGACAGGTACTTTTATAAATATTTTATATAATATACTATCACAGATTATATATATATGAAGAGTAATATTTTATTTTCCATTTTACACCAACAAAGTGAGTCACATTGAAATTAAATGATGCTTGAAGAAATATGTAATAGTTTAAACCTGATATATTTTGGACCTTGGGATACTAATACAGTATTTTGGACTGTGCTTCACACTTATAGACATTAAAAAATAAAAAATATGTGATTTTTAACAGGTATATATTCCATACCTAACTTATATTATCATCCTATACAATAAATTCAACCTCAAAATACTCTTTCTTATGTACCGCAATAGGAAAGGAGTATTTTAAATAGAAAATTATGAGGAAAAACCAGGGGAATAAGGAAGTAGTTGTTTACAGAAAACACAAGTGTACTTGACATCCTCAGCTACAGAAGGAGAGCCTGTATAATTAACTGTCTGTGTGATATAATTGTATTAATAACAAGACTTCAAGGAAACATAAATATGAAAAAGAAAGTTTATGGTTCAGCTTTAGGGTTCACAGTATAAATAAGGAAAATTGCTCAATCTCAGAAAACACTAGKAGTCAAATCTAACTCTTTGGGAAAATTAAATCTGAGATGCAGGTAAAATAAAAAATAAGAACAGAATGCAATAATAAGGAAGCAACCATAACATTTTGGAATTGGTACAGATAATGCAATTTGATTTTTTAATCTACCCTG